TGCTCCGAGTGAAACACGCCGTGATGAAGGAGTTCGGAGCGAAGGCGAAGTGGCGCCGGAATCCCCGGTGGTTGATGATGTTGTTCGGCCGCCAGTGCGCTTCGATGTGGGGCCACATGGGAGCGGCCCGGCAACTATGCAACAATCCCAAGGTCTTCCATCTGATGCAAGGGAGACTCGAGGGGATGAAAAGCATGGCCGGCCATCCAGAGGACTGACCCAGAAGCTTCGACGAGGCGCTGCGTGGGGAACCAAGATCCTCACCCTGTTGACGTTAACGGCCTCGGTGACTTTCCGGTGGACCGCCCTCGAAGTCTTCGACAACGACACCCCATGGCGAGACTACAAGACCGACGAGGCCTGGAACATGATCGGGCCCCTATGGACCGAGCCGCGTCCATCTGGAAAACGACATTGCCGTAAACTCCTCGAACAAGTGAAAAAAGGGCCCCTGATGTGGTGTTGCTCTCCCCTCCGTTGGGTCCTTTGTCTACCTGGAGGCGCGTGTCCTCAAGTGGGTTGCGTGAACAAAGGGGAAGATACTGGCCTATGTGGGAGATGATCGGCGAGATCTGGCAGCACCAAGTACAAGGAGGTCGTTTGGCATTCCTACAAATGCCCGCCGGTGCCTCGGTCCCCACTGCCGAGGAGCTTCAGGAGATGAAGCAATGTTACCTCCGGCTGCCGCCGGAGGACGAGGAGAGTTACCGCCCGGTGGAGTGGAGTGGAAAGAAGATAACCCCCCTCTTTGAAGCCATCCTGGACATGTGCAAGTTCGGCCTCCAGGATCGTGAGACGGGGAAACCAATGAAGAAGGGCGTCAAGGCGGCGACCAACGACCCGCTTTGGTGCTCTCTGTTGGGGCGAGGCGGGCGATGCGGACATGAACCTGGAGAACATGTCCCGGTGGAAGGTCTTGGACGAGATGCGCAAGGCCAGATTTGTAGCCGAGCGACCCTGGCAGCCCGATGGTCCGAAGAATGGGCCAAACGAGTTTTGGATACGGCACATGTGGTGCTTGAAGGGCGACGAGGAGCTCCAGGATTCCTCTTCATGAGCCGTGCCGAGCGGGAATGGAATGGGAGGCGGTGCCGGTGGAGACTGAAACGACCCCCGAGGGCCTCCTACGACAAAGGCTGGGCGAGGTCACGGGTGATCAGTATGATTACATCTATTTTGAAAAGGAGGAAGTGGCGCCTTGGCCAAGCCGCTGCGGAGCACCCTGGCCAAGCTGCACGTGGTCCTGGGCCACATCTCGAATGCCAAGCTCAAGCGCATGTTACACTTGAATGGAGCTCAAGACCAGGTGCTGAATGCGGTGAATGACCTCCGATGCCAAGTGTGCCAGGCGGTGGTGCCACCCTCGAATGCCCCGAAGGCCGCTTACGACCGCCCGACGAGGTTCAATGAGAGAGTGGCAGTGGATGTCTTTTACGTGTGGGACGCTGCCAAAGCAAAGTACGCGGTGGTCCACGCGGTGGACGCCTTTTCCTTGTACCAGGTGGCGACCCTCATGCATACGGCCCGGGCGGACCTCGTGGCGCACTTCCTCAAGAACTACTGGGTGGGAGTGTTTGGGCCACCGGACGTGTTGATGTCCGATGCCGGAAGCGAGTTCGCAGCAGACACGGAGTCTTTGATGCGGGCCTACGACGTCTTCCACGAGATGGTTCCTCCGTCGGCCAAGTGGAGAATGGGTCTGGCCGAGCGACATGGAGCAGTTCTGAAGCTCCTGGTGATGAAGACGATACACGCCACGACCGCCAAGGGCTACAGCGAGACCAAGGAGTGCGTCATGGCAGCCACGGCCGCCAGAAATCGACAGGCTCGGGTCGGAGGATTCTCCCCAACACAGATTGTGCTGGGCAAGGACGTGGCAATTCCTTCGTCTTTGCTGGCCCAAATCGAGAAGGGCCACTTTAAGTATGTCCTGAACCAAGATTTGGCCTTCAGCGAGGCCCGTCGGAGGAATGAGCAGATCCGCCATGCGGCGGAGCAAGCGTTCATTTGGGCCGATTCGAGCGAGACCCTACGGAAGGCCCTGAACGCCAAGTCCAGGCACCCTAGACTGCAGATGTTGTACGAGGGCGCCAACGTCTACTACTACTACGACCCGCCGAGCTCCCGGAAGGGCTTGCCGAAGCGCCTGCAGGACCAAGTGTCTTGGACGGGCCCTGGAGTGGTGGTAGCATTGGAACGGCGAGATGGCTCAATCCGCCGTGTATGGATCAGGTACCGCAACAAGCTCAAGGGCGTCCCCCTCGAGTATGTGAGGATGGCCGCGGTTGAGGAGGTGGAGGCTTCTCGAGTATGTCAAGATGCTCTTCGCGAAGTGGAAAAGGAGCTGGATGGAGGCAGGCCGGAGATTGAGGAGATGTTAGAACCCGAGCTGGACGAGGCCCCCATGAAGTTGATGGAGTTCAGTGATGATGAGAAGGAGGTGGAAGTGATGCCTACTTCCACTTCTCCGCCAGCGGTGTCCCCTCTCGACGACCTCCCCATCCAGCTGCATCGTGGCAGGAAGCCCTTGGCTCCAGACACTACGGCGGGTATGCGGCCCACGAAGAAGGTTCGCTTCGAAGACGCGCAACGAGAAGTAGAAGGACATGTCGGCCGGGTCCAGGCGCTTCTGCAAAAGTATGATATTGAGGTCCCTGAAGGAGCCGCCGCTTCGAGGACTCGAACGAGAGCGGCCTCTCACCGCCCTGGACCATATGATGGAGGTAGTTCTCGACCTCCCCCTCAAGCGAGTCATCGAGGCACTGGCGTGCTTCACGCGAGCTGTGTGTGGCACTTGGAAGAGGCCATACGGGCGCAAAGAAACATGTTGAAGTCAACCAAGGAGGCCTGGACCGTCTACGCCGTGGATGCTGAGAAGACGACAGACCAGGTCACGCAGTTGGTGCGCGAGAGATCCAAGATGCCTACTGGAGAGGGTGCCGAAGTGCCGGCCCCTGTAACCGGAAAGCCTCGTTTGGAATTTCGCTGGGGCCAGCTTCCTGAGGAATGGAAACAAGCGTTCGTGAAGCCCCTCACAGAGGCCATCGACGTCTACGTGGACAACGATGCGGTGGAGCCGGTTCCCTTGGGATTGGTTGTCCCGCCAGACAAGATCCTGCCGTCACGATTCGTCCTGACGGACAAGAACAGCGCCAAGCTGTTGTCGGAGGCCAAGCTCAAGGCGAGGTGGGTTCTGGCAGGACACATGGACAAGGAGGCCGGCCAATATGCCACGGAGGCCCCCACAGCCAGCCTCGTGGCACACAATGTGTTGTGTTACATCAGTGCGCAGTGCCGATGGCCCCTGAAGTATGCTGACATCTCTGCAGCATTCTTGCAAGGGGAGAAGCTGGCCGATGAGCGAGTCGTCTACATCCGGATGCCCAAAGGTTACCCCGACGCTGTGACCCGCCACCTGCTGAAGCGCCTGGAGAACATGTGCAAGGGAGGCATGAGATCAGACATGGTCCGCCTCACCAAGGGTGGCTTCGGGCTCGCGGAGAGTCCACGTTTATGGTACCTGCGGTTGAAGCGGGGCCTCCTGGACCTGGGCATGAAAGAGCTTAAGCTGTCCCGGGCACCTTTGTCTACCATCATGACGGGGTCCTCCGAGGGGTGTTGGCCATCCACGTCGACGACATGAGGATTGTCTTCGACCCAGACTTTGAGCACCTGCTGGAGGACCTCCGGAACGGAAGATGTTTCACTTTGGTGAGTGGAAGGTGGCCCTGAACGAGACGGTTAAGTTTTGCGGGAGATGGGAGAAGCAATGCCCGGAGACATACCGGGTAACGATTACGATGGATGGCTACGCCCGACCCACCTCAACGAGCCAAAGGAGACCGCCGCCCCCTTTCCGATGCCGAGAAGAAATGGGTCTCCTCTGTGGGTGGCCAGATCAATTGGATGGCGAGGCAGGGTCGAGCAGACTTGGCCTTCGGGATCTCCAGGGTGCAACAGATGGCCGGAGCTCGCGACCCAGAGACTCTCAAGGCCCTACTACTGTTGGTTAAGAAGGCTCGCGAGCCCTACCACAGTTGTTTTCAGGCACTTCCTGGAGGCTTCGACGAGATGCTTTTTCTGTCGGTGAGTGATGCTTCCCACGGGGCGATGCCGAAGGGGCGATCACAAGGCGGATTGATGATCCTGAACGCCCCGAAAAGTATCCTGGACGGCGAGGCCCCTGTGAACTGCCTGATGTACCACAGTTCGGTGCTGAAACGTGTGGTGAAGAGCAGTTTGGCCGCAGAGATCTCCCAGGCTGCTGAGGCCATGGAGCAGTGCGAGTTTGTGAGGGCGATGATGGCCGAGATTGTGGATGCGAAGTTTTCTCTACGAGACTGGCGGTGGAGCGCGGCTCGTTGGAAGGAGATTTCAGTTCTGGATTCCAAGACGGGCTACGACGTCCTGAACAGCATCAGCCATGGTGAAGACAAAAGGCTGGCCATCGACATCGCCCTCCTCAAGGAGTCCCTCTACGAGCCTGAAGGCAATCGCTGGGTCAGGTGGGTCCCCGGACTCACAATGCCGGCCGATGGGCTCACGAAGGAGTACGGCAATCACATGCTGGATGTGGTGATGCAAGGAGGCCCTTGGAGCCTCTGTGACTCTCCGGCTGCCCAGAAGTTGCGCGAGGAGGCGGGCCACAGAAAGCGACAATGCCGTGAACGACTGAGACAGCGGGAGCAAGAGGCAGAAAGGTTACGCCAAGCGTGCGATAACCGCACAACAGCTCCAACGGGGGTTGGTGTCGAAACTGCCCTTTTCCAGCCGTTGTGCACAGGTAGCTGACCGCTCGACGCACGCCAGGATGGCTCCCAGCTGTGAGCACGTGGTAAAACGGCCGTGTGGGGCCGGCATCTTTTTCTGGTCGGTTGGGTTTTCTTGTGTAATTCTGCAATGGGCCCCCAAGCTCTCAACTCCTCATCCTAGGAATCCAAGTTGTCTGCGAAGATTACAGACATGATGACCCGTTCAGAAATTCCGTATAGCTGTGACAGGTTTGGAGGAGGCGCGCGGCAGTCTGGCAGCTTGTGGATGCAAATTTGCGCAGTTTCTCAAACCAAGCAGCTGCAGTGGGACCCCACAGTTTCAGCTGCTGGAGATTGTTTCAGGTTTTCAGTAGGATGACGGCGACACACTACCGAGCTTACAACATGGTGTTGGTCAGGTGGCGAGGACAACAACGATGGTGGTGGGGGCGGATGGTGCGCCTGTGTGATTTGACTGCTGATCGTCGATACCACGTATAGACATTTCTGGCCCAGGTTCGGCGGTGGCGACGAGGAATGGTAGTACCTGCCACTTCCCATTGTCTCACCTTTCCGGTTTCTGCTGCCCCGAGGCCCTGAAGTCCATGAATAAACCTTTGGCGCACGTGCTTGAACAGTAAGTATTGCCAGCTGCTTTCTCTCAGAAGTTGATGGATGACGCGACCAGCTCAATACTGACTCACATTGCTCCGTCAACATTCACGGAGAAAATGAATAGACCGACGTGGAACAACCGCTGTACAGGGCACGGTTCGTGTGCCAAAGCTCCGGCAGAAATGACGGCGAAAAGATGATTTGGTCATGGCATGGTTAACGAGATGCACACCGCACTCATGGCTCACAATGCTGTTGAGCCTTTTCGGCTTTGGCTCCTCCTAGCAGTTGAGCCACGAGACAATTCGATTCACAGCTGGCACCTGTTTTTCAGCACAGGCTACCCCTGAACTGTCTTTGTGATTTTTGGAGCGATCCGCATCTGTCCTCCACAAGCAAGCCATGGTCGCTCGAGGAAAATCAAGGTTGGCAGGCCTGCTGGCTGAACATGCGGAGAATATGATGACATGGCGACATAACGGTAGTACTGGAAGGTCATGGAGTCGGAACAGAACATATTGGAATGTAATTGCAAAAATCAAAAAAGGGTGCGTCGGTGCGTCGAGGTCGCAAGGCCCTTTTCAGAGCTGAGGCCTGGGCCTTTCCCTGCTGGGAGTGTGTCTGGGCACATATTTCGGCGTGGCCTTCGTTTGCGGCAATGGCCGTCGGCCTAATGCGCCTGCGACGCCACGGTCCCAGGTGGCCATGAAGGCTCGGTTCCACCTCTCTCCGCCCCAGGTTTCAGAGTTTATCTTTGATAGGTCGGCCCGGTGCCTATCCAGCTGCCGTTCATGAGTGAGCCCATTGATGGCTGGACCTTCGCGGTATCCATGATGGGTCTCTTCTTGGCAGTCGCTGCTTTTGGCGCCTTCCAGGTTTGGAGGCTTATGTTCAGTGCCGGACTCGGACGGATTTCCCAGTTGCCTTTCGCAGGGGCACGTGAAGTATGAGGTTTAGCGAAAGCATCGTGTCTGAACATGCATCCGAGGTGACGAGCTGGGAAGCTACGAGGAGATCAAATGGGGAGGTGCACGGCCGCCCAAAGAGTATGTGGAGGAGATGAAGAGGATCGAGGCTGGCTCTTGCACCGTTTCAAGTCGCTCTTTGCTGCTGCAAATGTCTCGGAGTTCAAGGCTCGAAGAAAGCGGAGGTATCTGGACCTCAAGAGCGTGTCAACCGAGTGAGAGCCGTTCTTTTCGTTCTTGGCATGAGCATGTCGCTCATGCCGCAACATGTTCTGCGCTTGAATCGACACTGGCCCGGACCGTTGTGACGGGTAGTAGCTGAAAGCCCTGGATTGTCTTAAGTTAGTTTGGAGGTTTGGTCATTTGATAACTGATGCACCTTAGTTCTCTGGGCATTGCGCATGAAGCTTGTGAGTGGTAGCCCTTCCACGGCGTTTGCCTTCAATATGCTGCTTCTGCAAGGGTGTGGAAGCTGCAACCCTCGCAAGCAGCACCATGCTTATAATGTTGCGTGGACAACGGGGCCAGCCACACACAGCAATTTTCATCCCCGCTCTCACATCAGCATACCGTACGACATATGCTCGCGTTCCAAAATGCCTTGCTTGCCCACTGTGAAGCGGGGAGTTGTGTGTGTATGTGTCTTACAGCATACACGAGAGGAGATGTGCCACCATACGCAGCTGTTTTGCAAGGAAGATGTACAGATGTGGAGTCGACGGTCATGCTTCGGCCTAGCCGTGTGGAGGATAGCAGCCCGGCGAGCACTTTGAGCAGAGAGAGATCTCGGGTGCTTGACTCTCGAAGATGGCATATGCTCTGCATTTACATGGCCCTGGGCATCTTGAATCAGACCCTGTGGCTTACCTTTGCTGCCATTCCAGATGCAACAGCCAGAAGATATGACATTCCGGAACAGTACGTCGCGTCGTTAGCGGTGCTTTGCAATGCCGTGTATGTACCTGGCTCATGGATCTGTACGGCAATCCTACGAAGCTCTGGACTTGCCAGAGTTATCAAATTCGCCTGCTGGCTACAGCTGCTGGGTAGCCTCATACGCTTTTTAGCAGACGCAGCATTTCGGCGCTGGTCAGGTCCCTTCGCCTTCCTGTTTCTCTTCATCGGCCAAGGTGTTGCAGCACTGGCATCCCCGCTCATCATGAACACACCCGCAGTTTTTGCGAACGCCTGGTTTGGCCGGCGTGAGCGCGAAGGGGTGCTGGCAGTGGGTGCATTGAGCCCGATCTTTGGACAAGGGTCCCGTCCTCAGAGTCCTGGGCATCAGTCTAGTTCGGACAAGTAGCTGTAGTGGTGTTATGCTCCACCACAGGGTTGGGATGAAGCGTTAACTCTCGCAAAAGGCCACCCGTATCTTTCTTCAGTTCATTCCAGCTCTTCGGATAGAAGCGCAGCCAGCTGCACAGTCGTGTCAAGACCCCCAGCAATGTAGTCCCCCAACTTCCTATCAACGGCCCTTGCCTAGGCTTGGATCCGCCATTGCTGGCTTCGTTGTCACTGGCTATGAAGCGGACCCCCAATCCTAAACACTGTTTTGTTTTGACAGTGAATCCTAAATCCCAAACCTTGATTCCTAAGTCCATCCCAAATCCTGAATCCTCCAGACTGGGCACTAGACCTAGCTGCTGACCTAGCTCTTTCTGGCGACAAGGAGGGCACGGAGCAGCTCTTAGCAGGCCAAGCCTCATTGAGCGCTCTGATGGCTCTATGGACCATTGGGCAGTTCGTCGATGCTCCGGGGGAGAGCTCGCAGGAAATCCGCAGCGAGACTTTCAAGGAAGGTTGGAAGTTAATGCGCCGGCTCAATTTCTGTTTGATTCTAATTATCTTCAACTGTGGCATGGCCTTGGCAGCTGCGACGCTGACCTTGTTTGGAAAGATTGCAAGCAACTGTGGCTACACCTCCACAGAAGCTGGCATTGCAAGTGGCATGTTCATGGTTGGGGGAGTCGTTGGCTCACTCGCGACAGGTTCGCTGCTGGGAGCAACTCGAGCTTACCGCACAATCCTCCGATGTTCGATTATTTCCGCAGTCATGTTCGGACTAGTGTTTCTTGTGATGCTTCGTCCCGGCAACTTGCGTGGGCTCTTGATCACCACAACCTTCTTCGGCACTTTCATGATGAGCGCTTTGCCGGCTTTGTTGTCAAACGCGGTGGAAGAGACGTACCCAACTCCTGCTGACATCACCACAGCGCTGCTTTTCAATTCTGCCATATTACTCCAGGTGTTCTTTATCCCATTATCTCAAAGCGTCCTGACCAGTCAGGGAGATACCTGTGCCTCGTGGGGCTCTGCTTACAGCGTCTTTGAGATCTCCGTTGCTGGTGTCGGCTGCTTACTGCCAGCCCTACTGTACCACGGCAGGAACAACCGACTGCTAGCTGAGCTAGAAGAGGAGCAGATGAACGAAGGAAGCTGAGAAGCTCAGACGGAGGCTTCCACACGGGTACGGACTTTGAAAGTACCCGTTCGAGATTCCCAGATTCCTGTTTCTCGTATTGCAGAATGATTAAATGGTATGCATAATGTGCTGGTCAAAGAGTGCAGTTCCACGGCTAGAAATCATCCACGTACTTCGGCAAGCTCGTCATGCTTGAGTCAAATTTAATGCTTTCGCAGGGCTGGCTGCTTATTGGGTGCTCGGCCCTGAACGTCACAAGCTTCTCGTGAGCTGCGAACAAGAACGATCAATACTGCCTTGCGTGCGGTGGGGATGAATGCAGTAGAGCCGATTGTGTGTTGTATGGGCAGTAGTAGCAGCAGTTGCGGCGGCAGCAGCAGAACGGCAGCGGCAGCGGCACCCCTCTGCCAGGTAAGAAGTCCATCCCTGTGCGGATGTTGGCATTAAGCTGGTGCATGCTGAAACCACCACCTGTCGCGTTACATCAAGACAGGATTAGGAATGAGAAGATCAAATGTTTTCGTGTGCCCGTGATTCCGGTAACAATTCAAAAAGCTCATCAGTGCCGCCTGATTGTTGTCCCTTGGCAGTTTCGGCAGTTCGACGGCTCTAGAATTGCAGGTTTGTCACACACCCGTCCCCGCTCCGAATGTGTTGGTTCATACGGCCCTTTGAGATGCAGGTTTGTTGTTGCACTTGGTGGAGACAGCGTTGGTTCCGGAACCCTGCGCATTCTGCTGCAAGGGGCAGAGTTTTGCCATGCCACTTCAAGAGCGGTGTATGTTGGGTTTCTGAGCGGTTCGAGCTTGTCGAATGCCAAGTTGCCAAGCCGCAAGCACGCGCAGATATGTTGACCAGACATGTCGGCAATTGCACAACGAAAGCCACGCAGAGACAGCACGGGGTGTGGTCGTACTGTGGACGGTACAGATCGAAGCATGACCATCCAGGAGATGGGACAGAAAGCCGATTCAGACGGACAGAAAGTGACAGCATTGCGTAGAACTCTCATGCCGGCCTTCATGGATTTGCCGGAGGCACCTGCTCTGCTGTAGTTGGAGTGCGGCATTCGCGCTGGTGGTGTGTGAGGCCTTTCGTTTAACCGCTCTGCACTCTTGATTCTAGTTGAACTAGCGAGCTTGGAAGGAATTGCCACTTTGCATGGCTGGGAGTGCAGGGGCGGAAGCCTTGCTCGACTCCGTGATGTATGAAGAACAGGTCGTAGAGATGCTGGCAAGCTGCGGTTGCAGACCGCTTTCGCATGACGATAAGCCACACTGCAAGTTGAGATGTCTACCCTCCAACAATATCACTGCAGTTTGCAGGACGGCATCATTAGGAATCAGGAAGTCGAGGTTCACTATCCATGCGCGCCTGCAGGCTCATGATGTCCCCATGCCGGCAAGCACAACAGGCAGTGTCTGTGCAAAGCAAAGACTCTGCGAAACATGCGATTCCGGATTCGCTGGGGTAGTTGTAGAGTTTCTCAGCGCGTCAGGTTGGTTCCAACGGGAGCCGGTCTGGATCGACGACAGGCGCTGTGTGCAAGACAAGCAGAAACTTGTGTGCTGAATCCGCCCTTTGCCTTGCAGGCAAATGTTGCTGAATGTGGAGTGGGTCAAAAACTTGGCATTGGTGCTGCACAAATCGCGAAGTAGGACACGCCAAAAAGTGCGAGAAACTCTTTGTCACAACTAATTAGCTGAGATTCGGATTGTGCTGTCCATGCAGCGATGTTTGCGATTCTTGTGCAAAGGCGTGCTTCCTGCTCTATGCAGCCGCTGGCATCGGCGGCGTACTTCTGCGCCTTCCCAAATCCTTGTGTGCTTGCGTGATCTTGTGTGTATTCGCGGCTCTAAGCCTAAGCCACGGTATGGAGCTGTCAGCAGCATGGCGAGAGTGGGATTAAGGATCCCGAAGAGACCCAGGCTGGCTGTGACAGCTTGGCGTGCGCAGGGCGCAGGGAGAGAGGATAAAGTGGGGTGGGGGATGGGGAGGTCGACCTCCGGAGCTTCGGCCACAAGACGTGCCATGCTGCCCGGAATGCCGGGCCCACGAAAACCCACTCTGAGCTTTGCCCGCTGCTTTCGACCTTCCAGGAGGAGTCGGCGACAACTGGCGCTTGGCCTTTGCATCGCCAATGCTGTGCGATGCCGAAACCTGAGCCACCCGAACTTTCTCTCAATCGCCTTTCTTCTCTCTGTCTGTGCGGCAAATGGAGATGAAAAGCCTGAGAAGTGCCAAGACACTTCACATCAGGTTTCAGCTTGTTCTTGGAGATCGAGAACCGGGAGCGGGATCGTCAGCATTCGAGCCACCAGTGTTGGACGTGAAGTGCAGAAAAAGGGCATGAAGTGGATGAGAGTGTGGCGGCAGTGTGCAGGAAGGACGTTTGACAGATCTGCTACGACAGCTGGGTCCGACCCAGATGCAGTCGACCCACTCAGCTTTGGCTGGCGCTCTGTTTTCCTTCTTTGCTCTACGGTGGATTCGCATCCGCATGTCTCGGTGCGGGAGATTGCGGGAGTCAGTCCCAACCTGTCCAATGTTGCCATGAGGTGGCTGTGGGACTTAATCTCTCTATGTCCGACAGTGGTGTATTTGTCCGTGCGGGCCTTACCACGAAGCTTTCTGCGGCTCTTATAGAGAGGCTAAGGGAAGCCACACATGAGGCTTTCTCTATAGTCGTCTCTTTTTTCGCCCAGGCACTTGCACTTCCAGTAACTAGCGGTTTCAGGACCAGCTTAAGCAGACTACATGCGCCTGCGGCAAGCTCCACTACGCCATCAACGTGGTTCCACTTCCGCTGTTGGACTGCCTGGTGGTCAGGACCCAACAATCAGGGTAGTTTGGTGAGTCGCTTCTCTGTCCAGTTTTTAAAGCAGCTTGGACAAATCCCGCGTCTTGAACGCATAAGTTATGAGCTCCAGAGCCGCTGCATACCCATTCCATCCCATTCCCGGCCGGCAAGCAGAAACTACCCCGACCCTTCACTGCAGCTCCATAGGTGTGCGTCAATATTGCGTGCTACTTTCTAGCCGAGACCCTCAGCTGATTCTTTCGACGGTTTGCACCGGGACTGTCGCAAAAGACTTGTGGTGACCGAGAGTTTTTCCACCGAGGTGGTGGCCGTTGCTGTTTGCACGTATTTGCTGTGTGCGTCGGGCGCTCAGTCTCCAAGACTCCAAGCATGTCTACCAGGTTCGTGCATGGCTCTGTCAAAGGTATCACCACCTCCGAGCATACCTTTCGTGCATCATTGGCTTCCTCTATGTGCCGGGCCAAGCAGCTGTGTGCATGCTGCACAAGGGAGTACATGGGGCACAGCAGCTTTCAGAACTTGGAGGTGATACTGGCATGGTCAATGCTGTACTACGGGATGCAGGCCGTGTGCCTGCAGCTTCCGGGGTGCTCGTGCAGTCCGATACCTCACGACGCGAGAACCATCAGCCCTCATTTCAGGTCGTGACGCAGCTCGCTGAGATCTGTCGAAAAGACCCTCCTGTGTGGAGCCCTTGGTGTTGGATTCTTCAAGCTCTGAAGTGAGTTTGGGTGTATGCGATTGCTTTGCCGTCACGACGGTGCAACAGTCTCTGGTACAGTTGCTGTAGCTTGGCCATGGTCCGGGCCGGCCTTGCCCCGTCGCTGAGCATGTCCATGGCATCAAGATTGTCGGAAGCGCTGCTCTCTTCATTCCGGAAGTCGCAGCCTTCCGGGTTGCAAGCCGAAGCAAGGGATGGGCAGCACAGTGCAGATTTTTCAGGAAGTCCTGCAGTCCTCCCGGGATCGAGCGTAGCAGAGGCAAAGTCTCCTCTCGCGCGCCCGGGCTCGGGGATCCAGGCCAGCTCGGCCAGCTCAGCGACTTGCGAAGGCGGAGCAAGACTTGGTGACGTCGAAGCATCGCCGCATGAACGAGCTGATGCATCTGCGCTGCCCGTGTCTGACCCAAGCGATATGGTGGCACCATGCAGCAGCAGAGCTTTACTAGAAGATCTACAAGCAACTTCGGTGACGAAGAGGCTACGAAGCAAGACGAAGGGACCTGCAGATGCTCCGACGACTCCGAGGCGGAGCCTGCGATTGAAGGGTTTGCCTCCTCAGACACCTAGCCCCCTTCCACGACCACCACGAGCCTCACGAACCCTCGGAGCTTGCAAAGGGCCCGAGCCTCCTGTGCGGAAGCGGAAATTGCCGCAGCTTCGGCAAGACTCGCCCCATCGCTGCAGCTTTGCCAGCGTCCTGGAGCAGGCACGTTCCACTGGTCCAGGGAAGTCGTCGGGGAAGAAAGCAGGGGTCAAGCCGCGACGGACTGAGAGGCCCAACACCCTGCAGCCAATGAGACAGAGAGGACTCTTGCGGGTGCCAGCACTAACGCAGATCCCAGCTAGCATTTTCAAGAGCTGGAAGCCGTCACCATCAAAGAGGCCACTACCAAAGCGCTGCCGAATGCCACCACTCCAGGCATGGCGCAACGAGCGGGTCGTGTACGAGAGGACCCCGAGCTCGCAGACTCCAAGCGTGGTAGCTGTCGAGGTGGACAGGTCGTTCTCAGGGTCTCAAGCGCATCGGGATTTTCAACTGCCAGCTCTCCAGGCACCCCTGGAAGCCATGGAGGCCAGCGAGTTCCTGGGGATCTGCACCGCCAGGTTGAGAAGCCGAGTTCTAGCTCTACCAGACCGTGGGGACGCCTGCACCGTTGGCCTCAATGGTCCTGGCATACTGCATGTCCTTGATGGCTCCTTGAGAATTGCCAAGGAGGGAGCACCAAAGGAGATGCAGCTGAGTGCAGGATCTTTCATGCTAGTGAAAGACTCCGACAAAAGGCTTGTAGCGCCACCACGGACAGGTCCGCGACCAAGACCAAACACAGTTGGCGTTCGTTTCCTTTGGGTGGAGGTTCGGTAATTGGACGATTGGAGCCACACTGCTTCGATGAAATATTTCGTCACAAGCCACGAAGCTTTGAAGATCGGGCAGAGACCTGCGGCAATTCGGCAGTTTCGCACGAGCTGAGCAGGGCGTTGTGGAAGTGGCTGCAAGCTGTTGCACATGTTGCTTCACACCAAAATCATCCCGAATCCATGTTACTTGTTACGTAGAGCGTTGCAACCACTGCTGCCATGGATCTGTTCATTGTCACGTAGGCTTCCCTGCCAGCATGCACACATGTGGGAATAGTCCAAAATCTTGCAAATAGATGTAGGTAGACCAATGTCCTCGACCAGTGCATGCAGCAGACATTAATGCACCGAGAGACCCGCGCGAATTAAAACGTGTGAAGCATGGGTTGCCAGATGATCGGCGTGAGCATGACTTCTTGAGCCGATACAGAGTGTGCTGGTCGTGTGATGTCGTGTGCCTTCGGCAAGGCGAATGCTCATCACCAGAGTGGGCGTCGTCTCCGCAACTTGTGAGAACGAGACCAACAAAGTGGCAGAGCAGCAGCGGTGAAGATTGGCTGAGGTATTCTGCCCGGCACTCTTTCTGGTCAGAGCGGTTTGCCTGCTCGGTGAGCGCCCTGGAGGCCAAAGCCTGAAGCTTGGACCTGACTTCAGTTTCTGAGGTTGGGGAAGCTCCATGGCTGCCCCGCAGAGCCACTCAGTGTCGCGCCGCGAGTGCGGACGCGAGTGCTGAGCCGCCTGGGCTTAGGTCCACCGGAGTTGACCTGCTGCTTGCGCTCTGTTCCGAGTGGCTGCCAACAGGCTCAAGCCTGTCGCTTGCTTTGGCGACGTTGCACCTTGAGCCACTCTTTCTTCCACGCCAGTTGTGGTGATAGCGTGCCTCATCCCGATGTGCCACCGGCACGTTTGCAGTATGTCGCTGCAGCGGCCAAGTTGAGTGAGACCTGCATATGTACTCTGACTTGCAACGAGCCAGTTCGACCTCTGACTTCCCGGAGGACTTGCAAGTCATGTCTGAAGCCGCCGTTGCTTGTCTGTGCTTCCGTATGCGGAATATGATATCGTTGAGCCATTCAATTTGTCAGTATTCGCAAAGCACAACAAAGGTCAAGCTTGATAGGTCAAACGGCTGCGCATCTGATCACACTGTCTGATTTATGATCAAGGTGTTGCCGTATATTGACGATCTGGGCTTTCTTCCGGTGTGCAGGAGCTCACGGTTGACTCTGAGTCGGACCCGGACTCCCCGGGAACGGAGGCTGGGATTTCAAGTCAGCACCATAACTCCGCAACTCGGACAGTCTCTTTGACCGATTGCCTCTTTCACGTTACAGGTACACGGTTTGTCCATACGTTTGGTCAGGTGCCGGCACTGCACGAGCCGTTGATGGCAAGGCCACCACAGTTCCGCCTGGTGCTGCAAGCCGAGTTGGGAGTCCACGATGTTTCTCAAGAACAGTGGTGGATGCGATACCTGATGTCTTTGTGGCTGTCCGTCTTAGTTCTCAAGTTGGCTGCAATGTGGCAATGCATGCAACTGTGCACACCCTGATGCTTCAGGGAGTCCGGAATCGGCGACAACTGGTGCCTCTCTCTGCCATGTGTGAGCTGGCAGTTTAGCAGTGGTGTTGGCTTCATTTCAATCTTATTTGCAAGCATGTCTTGGGCCACGTCGTCCGTGCTTTTGCTGGCTGCAGGTGTGTAGCGGAGCCTAGAGCCATGCTGCATTGGAAGCCGAGACACACTAATTGAAAATGGTCAGAGTATACTTTGTACATACGTATACGGAGTAATGATTGGCATCCACATACACACATATTCGCATATACACATGCACACGCATGCATGCATACATACATTTAATCACTCATTCATGAATAAATACATACACATACGTACGCATGTAAGGACATACATACATACGTACATACGCATGCACATACATATTGCTGCCACTATCTATAGCCAGAACTATCACAAATACTAATGCTACTGCTTGACAGTACTGATGCTAGTGCTAATACTACCGAGTTACTTACGAGCGAACGAACTACCTAACTCACAACCACTCACTAACGAACTAACTAGCTAACGTGCGCCAACTGCCTCACTCCGTAACCGACTGACTGACTGACTGAGTGACTGACTACCAAACTAGTCAAGTAACTAACTATTCATCTATCTAACTAACTAAGTAAAGCACTGACTGAACGCGAACGAGCGAGCGAACGAGCGAAAGAACGAACCTACTACCTATAACTATTGCATGCATACACATACTACGACGAGGGCACACGCAGTCCGCGTACGCCAGCCCTTCGATGTAGTTGTCATGTGCATTTGATCTCGCCATGGATCTCGCTCGCGGGCAGCCTAGCGCACTCCATGTGATGTCTGGACGTGATTGTTGCGCTTTCAACTGGGTTTAGGCCTTCGCGCGGTGCGCTCGGCTAGACACTTCGCGGGCGCGCGGACCTTCACCGCTCCAGCCCTTGCAGGAACCCACCGTGTGTTCGCAGGGTCATAGGAAGGACGTGTTCGAAGCTTTCGGCACTGCACTTCAATGAAGACTCTCTGTGCCGGCTGCGCTCAGCTTGAGAATGCAGCACTGATCTTGTGCCTTCTGCTGGGCTGTGGATTGCTCTCAGCGAAACAAGGCGGCACATAGAACTGTAGAGCAATAGTCCAGACAACAGAACTGTTAGACGCAGCAGAAGCAGAAGCAGCACAATGACGCCTGGTGTGTCTAAATGCAACCAACGCCGGCGCTCGGCAAAGTCGCGGGGTCTTGCCACAGAATCGTCAGGGTCAGTAGCTGCTCAAACACCAACCTTCCGGAGGCTTCGGTGATTCTTGAGTTTTTGGCCCACATGCCCAAGAATGTTGGAGGCGTCCGTGTGCTGGAGCTCGCCAGTGCCCGAAACTCGGAATGTATTGTTGCCTCGAGAAAGTAGCCAACGGCAGAGGCGGTATCTGCATGATTTGAGAGCTTGCGGTTGATTCCGCAGGTGCTTGCTGGACCTTCTGTCGGCCAGTTCCTGGCTGAACTAGGTGCCGATGTTGTCAAGGCGGGCCGCAAAAGAGCAATAGCCCGGCTTCTGTCTTATTCTGACGTGAGGTTGAAAACCGCAAGCCCGGCTCCGAGCACTCGCCAGTTGTAGATTGGTAAGAAGTAGGTGTGACTTGTATGCTTGACGCCGCACACAAGCAGGACCGGTGGAGACGTGACACGGTCATGGCGACTGCGAGGAGACGACCCGCGGCAAGCGACTAGCTACTTCTCTTGTGCCTCGGCCACTGATTCGCGACCGCGGGGTTGAGTGCTGTTGCAGGATGACAGGACGGTGCTTGGTTTAAATGTATTGAATCTCACAGCTTCGTGGTGTCACAAGGCTGTAACCTTGGAAAGCGATCCCTGGCCGTCGATGCATCCACAGACCGCGGCCGAGACCTTTGCAGGTGCCCGCTCCCACCTCGAAGCGCCTCGAAGTGTCAGAACTTTGAACTGCAGGCGCTTGGCCATCTCCTCAGACATTGCAGGCGGCTCAAAGCGTCCTGCAGAGCATCCTGCACTTTTGTTTAAGGGCTCACTGCAACAGTCCCAAAGCGCTCCTGAGCCTCGACTTCACCGCAGCTGCAAGACTCAGTGCCGGTCGTAGCGAGGGGCCGCCATGACCGGGCCTGCCGGCGAGGGGAGGCAAAAGGCCAGCAACTGGCCAGCAACTCCGCTCAAGCTTTAAAATGTTTTGGTCAGCGACTTGCCAGGCCAACGATGAAAAGGGGTCCAAGCCTTATGGAACCACGACGATAGACAGCGTGTTCACCGCAGCCGGCATGCGAACACGAACGACTCTGAAGATTTTGGATGAGTGCTAGTGCCCGAGGCAAGATGTGCGTTTGGCAAACATCTTGGCCGCGAAGGCAGTGTCGGACACCGTGAGGAGCCGCGAACAGCTTCGGCGCTGTCACGAAAGCCAGCCTCCGGGGCTAGCTGAGTTTCTTATCAACCGAAGGTCGCAACAAGGGCTGTGGGGAGGGCCCCATGCAGGTGCGCATTTTTTGCACGGTTTCCGAGCCAGACCCCACCTAAAACTGGATTTGGCCGTTGCCACTCCTAAAAATGCTCAGTGATGCTGCCTGGCGGCTGCGATCGGAATTCCAGCGATGATGCGCTTAGCGACTTTTGTGGGCCCCCAACGATGCTCACGATGCTCGTTTACCGGCTCAGACTAACAACATGAAAAAAGCATCAACAACAATAGCACCTCCCCCAATGATGCTCATGCGCTCGCGCACAGGCTTCGATTGGGCACCTAATGATGCTGACAATGCTCGCTGAGTGACTTAGTGGCTCTGAGTGGAGCCCAGCAATATACATGATGGTCGTCTCATACGATTTGTTCTGGCTATCGGCATGTGAATGTGGTGCGCTTGCACATCACAGCGAGTGTAGTTTGTCTGTTGTGGGACCGCCCATTACAAGGACTGCGATTGGTTTCGATATGTGCATGTTGTACGACCACACATCACGGGGTACGATTTGTTTCGACCGTTCTGCGCTCACACATCACAGGGTGATTTTTCGAGCATCGGCGCGCGAATGTGGTGCGATCACACATCACACGGGGACTTGTCGCGGGCATCCGCGTCTGTATGCGGTTGCACACGGAGTACGGTTTCTTACGGGAGTCGGCATGTGCATGACCGCTCGTCGCAGGGGTTGCCATTTGTTGCGGGCATCGGATCGGCATGTGTCTGTTGTGAGATCATACATCACAGGGGCGTTCGATTTGTTGTAGTGATCACAGCTCGCGGGGACGGTGTAGACATGATGCCACATCACAGGAGGTACAGGTGTTACGGGCATCGGCCTGTGTCTGTAGGGAGATCGCACATCACACGAACGTGGTGGGATCAGACACCACAGAGCGGGTACGTTTCTTTTACAAGCATCGGCGTGTGTATGTTTGGTGATCATTCATCACCGCTTGCTTTCATTGGCGTATGTATGTTAATGCGATCACACATTGCAAGGGGTACGACTGGCAACTGGCATCAGCACGTGTGTGGTTTGAGATCACACCTCACGCTGGGTACGATGTGTTCCCGGCATCGGTGTGTGTACGTGATGTTACGGGCATTGGCGTATGTATGCTTTTGAGCTCGCATCACAGGACAGGAGTACGACTTGTTTCGGGAATCGGCGACTGAGCGTCGTGAGATCACGCGCGCAACGATTGTTGCTGCTATCGACATCGGCGTGGACATGCTGTGAGATTACGCTCGGCAAGGGGGGGCCGTTCAAACACGGGCATCGGCCTTTAAATGTGGTGAGCTCAAACATCACATGGGGATACATGGGGTACGTTTGTGTGTGTATATCTGTGTGTGTGTGTGTTTGTTTTTCAGATCACAGGTAACAGGGGGCACGATTGTTTCGTGGAACGCCCTCTGCGTGTTGTCAAAACTCGGGGTGCAATCTGTAGGGCGTCGGGCATCCGGGGGGGTTAGACTTTCTCACGGGGTACGGTAAGTTACGGGTGTTGGATCGGTGTGTGTATGTTGTGAGATCACATGTCGCAGGGCGTTCGATTTGTTCCGGGCGCATCACGGCGGGTGTGGTTTGTCTGTATGTTGTGCGACTGACACCAATGTTGCAGTGATGCCTGCAATGGTCCTTGTGCGTCCTTTTTCCGAGCGCTTGTGTGAACCCCTCGGACACGAGTGCCGATGGGCACTCGCCAGCTCGCATAAAGCAAAGCTCCGACGCTGCTTCTTTTCGATCTTTTCGCCTGCAAGTCTGCAGTCTGCTGCTAGTTGCCCTGTCTAGCTTTCGTCCCAGCCCCTCCTTCCCAAGTTGCAGCGGAAACACCTGAGTCCTTCAGCTTGGGCAGTGCTTTTTGTGCAGGACCTCGCTTGGACCTCGCGGCATGGACAAGATGATCCAGGAGCCAAAAGGCACGCAGGTAATTGGGTGAGCGAAGGTCACACAGGGCGGAAACGCATGCATCATCTTCTTCGCACGTAGCCTGAATGAAAACTTTCACGACGAGTGTAGCTCCATGGACACATTGTCCAACTGTCGATTTGTATTTGCTTTTTGTTTTACTGCAACTTCAGCTAAGCCCAGGCGAGGTGCTGATCTCAAACGACGGTGCCACCATCTTGTCGCGACTTGATTGACTGATAGCAAGTCTCAAGTCCACCAAGCAGCACTTATTGCTGCCGTTGGTAGGAAGCTGAAGCTGCAGCATCCAACTGCAAAGATGATGGCCGAGCTGTCCAAAGCACAGGAGCGAGAGTTGAATGTTGAAGACTGTGCAGCCGGGTCTGGTAAGCTTGCAGACTTGCAGCCAGACAGACGACTCGACTTTTGCCCTTGTCCCTGTGTCAGGACATCGAGGCTGGCGACGGCACCACCTCCGTCGTCGTCATTGCTGGAGCTTTGCTCGGTGCAGCAGAGCGGCTGTTCGGACCCGAGCTGAAGTTCACAGGCAGAAGAGAGACTTCCTCGGAGCAGTCAGTCCGAGACAACTGAGGCTCAAGAAGGGAATTCATCCCCAGACGATCACAGAGGCACTGAC